TATTTTTTGGTTGCAGCCGTCATTGTTGTTTGGCGGGTCTGGGCTGGGGACCTTAGGTGTACGTGGCTGGCGCCTTAGCCGGTTGAGCTATAGACGCCGAGCCCAGCTATTTTTTTGGTTGCAGTTGTTGTTTTAGCTGGCCTGGGGCAGTTGGAACCCACCAGCCTCAGTGTACATGGCTGTGCCCTACCCACTGAGCTACTGGTGCTGTCGTATATTTTTGATTTTTATGTTGCAGATTGGTTCTGCTGGATAGTAGTTTGGTTTTTTACCTTTGCTTGTACTGTCATTTGGTACATAGGCTTAACATTTTTATGCTACCACATCTGTCTGTCTTCTCCTTCATGCCCTCTAGTTTTATGTTACACTTAGGAAGTCATGTCCCAACCTACAATTATGGAAACCTTTACATTTTCTTCTAGCTTTTTATAATTCAAAGAAAAAATATTTAGATCATTAATCCATCTGGAATTGTGTGCATAATTAATGAGATATTGGAAGCAAACATAAGCTTCCCCCCATTCCCCATATGGACAGTTATCCTAATCCTGGTTATAGAACAGTCCATATTTGCTTCCAAATGGTCTTATCGATGTGTCTCAGACTCCTTAGTGTACATAGATCTGTCTCTGGGCCATCAGTCCTATTTTGCTGGGTCATTTATCTACTTCTACACTAGCACTACAGTTTTAGTTGCTATAAATAAAAGAGTGTATTTTGCTCCAGTGGGGTAAGTCTCCCTTTATTATTATTAGTTTCCAATTTTTCCACATATTTACTCTTCCAGGTGAACTTTAGAATTAATTTGCCGAATTCATAAAAAGGTCCTGATTGAATTTTGGTTGGGATTGTTGAGTCTATAGCTTAACTGGGGGAACTTCACATCCTTACAGTATTGCATCTTGCCATCCAGCAACGGGGCATGTGTCTCCATTTATTCAGGTTTTCCTCTGTGTATTTCAGCAAAGTTTTATAGTGGTTCAGTATGCAGGTTTTATGTATTCTTTAAAAATATTATTCTGGACACTTGAACTATGTACTATTTATAATTAAGAACTTTGTTTTCATTACATATTCTAATTGGTTATTGCAAATGTCTAGAGAAACTATGCTATCGATATAAGCAGTTCTCATAAATTTATGGAACAAATGAAAAACATTTAACTGGTAGGAAAAAAATTGATACTTGAGTGCCCTAATTGCTAGGCATGACTATAAAATATTTCTAAAACATAATTCCAAATAAATCCATTAAAAAGCATTATGATTTCTAATGCCTAATTGAACTTAAATTTTTCTTTCTGTCTTTTTACTCTTACAGGTAATTATTAACTTGGTAGACCAGGCAGGAAGAGAGAAAGTTATTGGGGATGCTTACCTGAAGCAGGTGCTGCTGTTCAACAACTCACACCTCACTTATGTCTCCTTTGACTTCCACGAGCACTGGTAAGGCGGCTTCCGCCTGTGATAGGCGCTGCCCCTGGAACTCGAGCTTCTCTTTTCTTTGCTGGGAAGAAAAAAATTTTTTTCTTGTTAGAAAGGGAAAGGTAGCATTTGCTTACTTAGTTTTAATTTTCATAATTTTATTTTAGCTAAAATGTTGGATTAATTATTCCCCAAATATTTACCATCTTCCTCTTCCCGATTGACTTAAAGGCTTGAAGAGTTCTGTTTTTGCTTTGCTCATGCTCTTAAAGAATTTAGGGAGCACTTCCTTTCTGCCTGGGTCTGGGCCTAGCAGAAGTAATAGCGATTCCTTTCTCAAAAATTATCTTGGCTCGGCGCCTATAGCTCTACTGGCTAAGGCGCCAGCCACGTACACCTAAGGTGGTGGGTTCGAATCCCCAGCCCGGACCCGCCAAACAACAATGACGGCTGCAACCAAAAAATAGCCGGGCGTTGTGGCAGGCGCCTGTGGTCCCAGCTACTTGGAAGGCGGAGGCAGGAGACTCGCTTGAGCCCAGGAGTTGGAGGTTGCTGTGAGCTGTAATGCCATGGCACTCTACCCAGGGGGACAGCTTGAGGCTCTGTCTCAAAAAAAAAAAAAAAAAAAAAAATTATCTTGCAGGCTCTTCTCCATACTCTGTTAGAAACACTTCTTTCCCTATGGATAAACTCCACTAGAGTTTGCTGTGGAAAAACAAAAATCAGTGAATCATTTCGATGGTGCTTTTATCTTCTGCGTACTTTAGAATCAAGGTCCTTCATCCTCTAAATCCTGTCCTAATCCTGACTCTAATTTGGGTTAATTTACCTAGATATTAGAAATTTGGTGGAGAAAGAAGCTCTTAGCATCTGTAACGTGCTTCAATGTATTACGTATGCTTTCTTCCACAATGCGTATTAATTAAAAACATTTATATAATTGTCCTTATAATATATATAGTAGTATTAGCCTTATATACATATCATAATCATTCTTTTCAATTGTTTTCCAAGCTACCTTAAATGTCATATCTTAAGTAAGTTTTTGAAAATTAATTTTATCATTATATTGAAGATTTTCTCTTTCTTCTGGCATGGGTTTTAGCCGAGGAATGAAGTTTGAGAATGTCCAAACACTCACAGATGCCATTCATGACATTATTCTGGACATGAAGTGGTGCTGGTAGGTATTTCATCAGTCATTTTGACAAACTCTTGGTCTGTGAAATCACATATCTCTACCTGGTATCATTAAGCAGCATGCTAAGAATGGATTTATGTGCTCTGCTTCCCAGTTCCTACTCTTTTTAAGAGAATGTTGTTGATCAAAAGATGCACAGTCAGGCCAAATGAAATGAAGTGCTCTGTGACTGCTCTTTAAAGACCTAAGTTTATTTCTTCTTGTGCCCCAGGGCCCACATTTCATTTTTCTCACCATCTCTGACACTGGAAGGAAGGCTTAGAGGGACTTGGTCTCACTTTTCAGGCATTTCAAAATTACCAAAGACTACAGGAGGTTAAAATTGGCTTAAAGGACAGGAGAGAATATCTGATTATATTTTAAGACTACACGGTGGCCAGAGAAGTTAGATGAGCAAGGCATGCTGCGTGAATGCTCCCTGGGTGGTGAAGTAAATTAGTCTTTTTCAGATAGTTGAGATGTATTTCTACTTTGAGTCCAGAGGAATAAGATGGTGTTTTAAAGTATGTTCTGTTTTTCTGACTGTGTAGAAAAGCATAATTTGGGGTTGTGTCAGCTCTGCCTGGTAGCTGTAGGACTTGGGGAAGTCGCTCTTTCTTCACCTCAGTTGTGTGTTGTTTTAAGTGGGGATGATAATCTCTTCCTTGCTGAGTTATTGTGTAAGTTCACAGTAATGTTTAACAGGACTCAGTAATGCCTGAGGCGAATTGATATTCCCAGCAGATTGATAGCTCATGCTGCTGTTATTATTGTTAAAGAATTGTCTTTTGAAAAATCTCTTAAAGTATTTCATATTGTTAAATAATCCCATCCTATTTTTGAAAGGGTCGATGAAGCTGGGGTAATATGTAAGCAAGAAGGGATTTTTCGCGTTAATTGTATGGACTGCCTGGATCGCACCAACGTGGTCCAAGCTGCCATTTCAAGAGTGGTAATGGAACAGCAGGTAATTTGGAGTCCGTTGGGTTGTAAATGCTCATTTTATAAATGCTTTTGTTCACAAGTACACAAGTAGCTAACATCTTTTTCTTTTTTTTTATAATTATTTTTTGTTAAATCATAACTTTGTACAATTGATGCAATTATGGGGTTCAGAGTACTGCTTCCTAACATCTTTTTCAAACATCAAATGCTCTGTAGAACACTTATGGCATACAACCATTATTACATTAAAACTTGGAAAGTGCAACATTCATTAGAAATAAGATGATTAAAGTAGCATTTTCTTAATCACTAATTTCGAAAATGTGTTGTTTTTTTTTTTGAGACAGAATTTCACTGTATCACCCTCAGTAGAGTGCTATTGCATCACAGCTCACAGCAACCTCAAACTCTTGGGCTCAGAGGATTCTCTGGCCTCAGCTTCCCAAGTAGCTGGGACTACAGGTGCCCACCACAACACCTGTCTATTTTTTTTTTT